CCTCCCCTCGAAGCAGAATGGAACTGCCCGGAGCACTCGCAGCGTCCCCGCCAGCCACCCCCTCGGCCACGCGCTCCCAGTGGGTCTTTCATATTGCGGGAGACTGTACGTATTATGTAGATCGTTCCGCTAGTCGCGGTCTTCCTCCATGATTTTGGATGACCGTGATTGAAACATAGCGTGCGCCATATTTTCAGTCACCGAGAGTTACTCCGACGCGCTTATTAATTTCGGATTTCGCGATCACCGAGAGGATACTATTTCCGGCTTCTGGCTGGCCACATCCGAATTTGTGAAGACGCCCTGGAACACGCCCAGCACGCTTTCGGCCAATGGCGACTCCTCATTCGACTCCCATGCTTCCCCGTGAATGACCAAACTCTCTGTACATACGACTCTGCGGGCGGACAGCGTTCCTGGCGCCACCTGTGGCCCATGTAACGCGTCCACTGGAAACGGAGAAGGACCGCTTTCGAACGGCGCTCATTCTGCGCAAACGTCTGGTCCAACTCTATGTTTACCATACAAAGTCACTTGTCCACCGCAGGCAATGCGCATCTAACGTTCCGGCGTTTCTGTCGCCTCGGTCCATCGGGAGGGTAGCCTATAGCGAGCGCTAGAGTCACTAAATGAGCTGCGCTTAGAGTATCGGCACTCCGTTCCCCGACATTGTTGTGGGCGCCGCCATTTTGGTTCGAATGCAGAGCACGCGGAACTGCCGATCGTCATGATTCAAAAGTGCGACTCCCCCGCATTAGATTCGGTGTTAGGAAGCGCATGTAATATATTGCTTTGCTTTGTCGCGAACTGTTTAAACATTTGTGGAGGACGGAAAAGCGTTTCCTGTGATTTCAGATAAAGCTTCTGATAACTGGCAGCCATGATTTTAAGCACCAAGATGCGTAAGTGTCGTTACTCTGAAGTGTAGCTTATTTGGTGGCACTGGCGAGCGCCACCGAGGGAACGGGCGACGAAAAGGCGCCTTCTATAGGAAGCTGGTCAACTGACTTTAATTATAGAAACGTTGCTCGCACCAGCCTTCGCTGCGATAGAGCCTCTTGAAAAGTTTTTGGCCAGCCGTGGCTGCAGCGTCGATTATCCGACACCTGGAGCATGTACTTTGAGCATGCAATGAACAAGAGTGCCCACGTCAGTGGTCGGCGTCACCTAGGATTCAATCCTACGCTTTGCGCAGGAAGCGACGCCCAAATTTATGAAGGCCTCCAGTGTTGCTCGATGAACTTTGGAAAACGGTCAACTTATGGGGAGCACCGGCTCAGCCTTTTGCTTAAAATACTCGCGATTTGAAAGACGCGCGTCCCCGTTTCTCTGTTTCACGTTTTCGCCGCCAGGCCGCGGAAGTTATCGCGCCACATTAGAGCGTGACGTTAGAGCCTACGCGGGTCAAACGTCACGCCACTGCGCGGTGGCGCTGTGGTTGGCGCGTGCGCAGACGCGTCGCCTCACGTGATTTCTGCGCAGGCGGAGTGTCCGTGTGGGCACACGCGGGCCTGTTTGTAAACAGTGTGCTGGTGTGCATAAGACGGTCAGTCCCGAGCAAAGAGAGCGCCAACACCGATCCCCCCTGGCTGCGCGTCGCTGCCTTTCGCCGCCGCCGACCGCAGCGCCACCGAGCAGCGGTCGTTACCGCGAAGTATGCGCAAAGTGTTGTATGCGCTACAGGGGGAAAAAAAAGTGATGAAATAGGTATGCTTGGGAGAAGAGCGTGTTGGTTTAAGTCATGGATGAAGAAAGAATAAAACAATTAAAACAGGGACAACACAACCACATGAAAGATATGGTTGTGTTGTCCCTGTTTTAATTGTTTTATTCTTTCTTCATCCATGATGAAATAGGTATACGCGTTACTTGGAAATTGAAGAAAGGGGGTGAGGACCTGCGTTTCCTCAAAATAAAAGAAACAGTCACCGATGAAAGATGTTACTTTTGCACTACAATTTTTTTTTTCTATATTTTCTTAATTAAAACGTATTACATTTTTGATTATACAGGTATGCCTAGGCGCTATATTACGTGAAAGTGGGAGTGTTTGCATGGGGAAAAGAGAGGCAACATCTTGAAGGTATGTGGAATGAAGTGAAGAGTTCGCGTAACTCAATGTCGGAAAACGGAAAAAAAAAAAATGTAAGCGTAATTTCTGAAGGTTTGGGAAGATGTAACGGAGTAACGTAAATATAGGTTACCCGTTACTTAAAGTAAGTACCGTAAGCACGTTACCCGCTGCTGTTCAGAAAAAGTAACGAGTAGGTTACTACATTAGCGAAAAAAGACAGCGTTCGTTGTAAGGCGCCGACGCCAGCAGCGCCGAATGCGCGTGCCCAGAGAACCAAGCCGAAGAAGAGATTTGGCGAAGGGTTGGTCTGGCAGCCGTAGGAGGCTGCGGTCGTAATGAGCGGCTATGAGCAGTCTTCTTAGCACTGACAGCCGCCTCATTAGACAGATTCCGGCGGCCGGCTGGTGGGGACGCACCTTCCTCACTTCTTTTAGTTGTCTTTTTTTTTTTCTTTTCGGTGTTTACAATATTTATTGCGCTTGTTTCGCGCTTCCCCCTCTGGGTTTTCTTGGAAGCCCTCACTCGCTGCTACGCTCGCTTATTTACAGTGTTGTCCACTTTTTCTGCCGCCTCCATTTCGGCCCTGTCAGATCGACGCGCGCAATACTTCGTTTTCTTTTTTTCTTTTGTGTGTGTGTCTGTTACACTCTGAGGGTTTTGACAGTGACGGCGTGTCGGCACCCGACGGGTTCTTATTGTTTTCTCGTTAAACTCCTTTACGCCTAGGAAGAACTAATAGAAACACATATAAGAGGCTCGATCAAAATCGTTTCGTTGCTCGGTATGCACGCCCGTTTTTGTAACAGGAATGGCTGTCCGCTGATGGCTCCTTCTCGCTCTTTAAGCCGCCGACACGCTGCTCTCAAATAACGCAAAAGAGAGTCCGCACACATCGTCTGAAACCGTTTTTTTTTCCCCTCCTTGTATAACTGTTTTCGAATTGGTCGCAGAAACAGCGACCTTTTCTTTCGAAGTAAATGGACCTTTTCCAAATACCGACGGCACCAGGCGGTGGCTGCACGAACTAAAAATCAAGGAAGTGACCTACCTGCGCTACCATCGATAATGGGAGCTACGTTACCAGTTGCTTCGCTCTCTGAGCAACGTCGCGTGCCCAACGCAACGAGGTAGGCCTAGCGCGACTTTAAAGAAGGAAATCCGTAGCGTCCACCCAAACGTCGTGTTTTTCTTTCCGTCCACTTTCTTTTTTTGTGTAACACAATTATATATATGCTGCAATTACGTGTTCTACTCGTCAATTCACAGCCTCATTCCGAATTTCCTCGATTTTTTCGTGCCGACTTCCACCACTTGGCATCGGGCGCTCGCGCGTGCGCAGAACGCTTCTCGGAAAAGGTCCATTGGTGAGAGAATTGATGTGTCACTTGACGAAAATCTTCCCGCTAAATTTAGCGCTGCAACTGAACGGTTGTATTGGTCACGTGACGTCGATTTTCACCGCTAGGCACTTTCCGATGATATTGAGAATATTTACTTCGCGTTCTGGAAATTCAATCTAGGTTAGCGGTTTAATTTGAAATTAAATCACCGAAGACTAACTCCAAGCGTGACAAAAATTGTTTAGGATTGCTAAACTTTATTATTACCTCACTATACTCAGCGTGAATGTTGACAAGGCCGTGTTACGTGGGGTCGAATTTTTTACGCGAAGTATCGAATTTAAGGGGGAATTCGGAACACGCTCGCCAAAATGTCGAATGAATTCGGTGTCTGTAGACGGCTCAAGCTGGCTATGATTACCTGTTCAACTGGATTTTATATGGAAATGGGAACAGTTTTTCTGTTCCATTTCGTACGCTTGAAAAGCCCAATTTTGTTTTATGGGCTTGCTCGAGTCGTTTTTATTGATCTAACAAAATGGTAATACTTCCAATGGGCCAACCATAAAGTAATATGGTGTAACGTAAAGAGTGGGCATTCCCATAGGCCCAAGCGGCTCACTCGACTGTCAGCGTACCTAGCGGCTGTTGTGAAGTTGGTCTCGGCTTCCTGTTTAGACGCTTGCGGTCACTACAAAGATAGGGACATAGATGGCTGCTAACTGAATGGGTGAATAACTAATATCGTTGATTCCGTTCGTATCAGGCGGTAGCTAGCACCACTTAATCTACCGGGACTAACTAGAATTATGAATTTAGGTAGAAATCGCACGCGTACATTCAATATTCTAGAGCTGATCGTGCACCAATATGCGATATAAAATTCAAGCCGCCGCACTTAACCGATAAAAGAAGGGGGCAACCGAACAACAAGGTGGGGGAGTAATGCTCAAATATTTAATGTGACCTGAAAGACAACTACAACAAAAATAACTGTTCTGCAGGCGTCCGTAGAAATGTGTTCTGCGTTTCACCGTAAGGGCGAGCAAAGGAGGAGCGATTCGAGGGCGAGCTCGACGCTTCAGACGAACCCGTAATGCACGCACTCTCGCGAAGTGAAAGCGTTGTTTGAGAAAACACGTCATGTTTGGAGCGTCAGCTCGCTCCAATTTATGGGAAACAGGAAAAAACTTTTCGGTGACGCAACTGACGCTCGAGAGACGCTCGAAACACCCTCCACGTGGTTGCGCTTGAACCTTACTTTGGCCACAAACAAAGACCGTCGGGAAATTCACACGATGACGGCAACAGCACGACGCATCTGACCCCCACCCCAACCCTGGCTGCCGTTTATGGCATCGTTATAGCGGCTGCCAAGTCGTGTCTCTTGCCAAAGCCACAGTCACAGTCGTCGCAATATTTTGTTTGAAAAGGTTCGAAACTACTGATAGTTTCAGAAATATGTAAATTAAGTGAAGCTATTTCTTAATGGCACAACGCCACTGCGCCAGGTAGAGGATGTTCTCACGTAAGCCGTGTATTTCGGTTGAGTTGACGACTCATTTGCCCCTTTGACTCCTTCGCAGACGCCGAGTCGGACAAAGATGGCGGCGGTAGCAATGGCGGCGGAGGCGGCGGCAAGCGGCGGCGGACCCGGACCAACTTCAACGGCTGGCAGCTGGAGGAACTCGAGAAGGCCTTCGAAGCGAGCCACTACCCCGACGTGTTCATGCGGGAAGCCCTCGCCATGCGATTGGACCTCATCGAGTCACGTGTTCAAGTAGGTCACTTCCGGTCACGTGCCCGTCCTCGTCCGTTTCGCTAAGGGTGGGGGTTCTTACAAAACAGGAACGATAGCTCGTTTCTTGTTCATTCCTTCTTAACTTTGGAACAAGTTACCAGCTGCGGGGGATCAAAAGGAATGTGTTTCTGTTACATTTCTAAGATGGGAACGGGTCGATGCATTAACGTTACAGTTGCGTACTTTACTGAAATATTCTGCCGGATAACTCGTAAATGAAATAAAGCGAGCGAGTGAAAATCTGCACATTAAACTACGCGTCAAGTCCCCACAGTCATATGTGTTACAGTTCTTCATTTTTGACTCTCTCTCGGACACTTCCTCATCCCTCGAAGCTAGGTGGTTGAAATAGTCGTTAATAACAAGTCTAAATGCCTACTAAATTCGGGTAGAATCGCAGAATGGAACGTCGTTCTTCCCAGCTTCGAAAACGTAACGTATTTCCGTTCCGCCGATTCAAGATGAAACGGCGGTGGAGCTCTATTCTCCTTCAAGGAAACACGTTCCAGGAACGTCGTATCTCGAAACGCCGTTGCGTACAACACTGGTGGAAGGCCTGACCTGCCTCTGAAAGGGTGCACTGACACTCGTGGGAGATAATTTTCGTTCTGGTTCACGGAAAGCTCGATGTAACGAAAATTCCGACATAACGAAGACCTGAACCCCGTAACTGCAATATCGCTGTCTCAAGGTTTGGGTTTTCAGGACGATCACACGGAAAGTCCATCGCCCTAGGGTAGCAAAATATGGCGGAAGAACGTTTTCAATTTGTAATGACGCCAATTTAATAAAAGGACCAAATGCAAACTCCACTTACACAAATATGTAGAAAAAAACAACACTAGAAAGAAACCGAATGAAAGACCGATGCTAAATTTTGCAAGTTCTTGCTACCTCCTCGGTTCTCGGCTACTATGCTTTCTAAAAAATCTTACGTTTAAGCATATTTTCGGACAGGGCTCAGGCGTCTTTTTCGAGACAATGTCATCTACTAGCGCAGAAAATAAGGTTTTGGAAATTTATTTTAGAGCACTGATTTGGGGGAAGGGGGGGGGGGGGGGGGGGGGGAGCTTCAGGCCAGTGCAAGCAACCACGGAGCTAAAACACCTAAGATATTATAACTAAAACAAACACAAGAGACCAGCATGCATTGCTCAAACAGTATTGTGCTAAGATTTGTGCACGATTTGAGAAGCGCACATGTTTTGATGATGGTTCACAAATTTGCTGGTATGATAAATCTAGTTTGGCATGTGATGATACATTATGATTGTGTTATACTTCGTTTCATAACTTGCCACAGAGGGGAAAGCCTCTTCGTTTTAAGATAGCACACTCTTTCAAAGTATGTAGGTACAGCATACAAAACACGTTTACATACCGTGAGAAGTTCTTGAACGCAAGAAATATCATGAGTCGCACCTGGACAATAATTCAGTCTAAAATGAGAATTCCCTTTTTCCTCTCGATTAACGTTTTACTGTCTCAAGCATATATTATTACGAAAAGTATTTTTGTTGCACCAACTTGAAAAAGTAGCAAATGCCTAAACTGCGTAGAAGACGGAAAAAATTGCACATCAAACGTTTTACATGGAGTCACAGTGATCAAGCGGAGCATATGCAGCTATACATGAATGGATGGTGGGATGGGTGGATGCATAACGGCTGTTCCCTTTGAATCGGACGGTGAGTTGCGCCACCTAGCCAAATAGTATTTTTAGCTCCAGACTAATTAATGTTTAAGCCCATTTATTCAGATTTCACCTCCATCCGTTCCTTGATTTTAGCCACCATTCCTCTCATCTTTTTTTGGTGAGCTCTACTCCTTCGATAAGTTTAGTTTCAGCGCGGTCTCTTCGAAGGACCTGAGAAGGTCAGCCATTTTGGGCGATTTCCTCGGGTGGCCGAGCCCGTTAATTCCATAATGACATGCTCTGGCGTTTTGATTCCCATGCCGCATAAAATGCACGTTGTATCCATTCTTCGGTGTTTGATCCGTCCTGGTTCTGAAAACAGCTGTCCTAGCCTCAAACAAAAACGCTGTGCTTCCTTTAGAGTTATCAAATATCCCCTCCTATTCAATATTCATTTGTCTTGCCCTCTACCTTTGTAGCCATGACCGTCAGTGCAGCGCCATCCGGTCTCATAAAACACACGCAGAAAGCAGCCACTGTTCAGATCCCCCAATATCACACGTCCTTACAACGTGCTAGATGCTTCCAGAGGCGGTGCACCAACAAGCGCGAGTGAGCGATGGCGAGAGGGCCACTTTGCAGAGAAAGCATGCGGATGATCGACATCTTGAGCAGATTGCCGCGTGAGGCGATCTGCTTCGAGGGTACACGACGAGGCGGTCCATCTTCTCAAGCGGCTCCCTGACCGGCCGTCCGAGCGGTGTTTATTTACAGCGCCGGGGCCGGCCCCCTCGTCAAAGTCAAAAACGGCACCGATTCGCGTAATCACCACCTTGCCCAAGCCGCTCGCGTTCGACGCGGATCGCTTCCCAAAGACAAACTGGCAACAACACGAAACATTGCGGGCGATTGAGACGGGCCACAATCATGTCCGAGCCCCAAGTGGTCCCAGGGACGATTGATATAACAACACAAAGCGTATAGGATGGTTCCTATCAAACAGCCGGGAGAGGGACATGTGTACACGCGAAAAAGGAATAAAAAAAAAATGGCGTCGAAGCTAAGCGTCGCAGGCGATTGATAGCAAGAGCAAAAGCAAAGCACGGAGAATGGATCGCGCATATACGCCAGAAAAAGGCGGACGAACGCTGGAAAAGATTAAACGCGGAGGGCGTTGATGACTAAATATATATATATATAGCAGACGATAGAAGGTATGTGCGAAGACGAAGCAATAAAAACAAGATGGCGTCGGGTAAACGCGAGCAGACGTCAGCCTGGAGCGGCGTGTTTGTGCCTTTTCTGCACGCACGAGAAATGGCGCTCGCTTTTATCCGAGTTTTGTTTGGCCGTCAACTCTTCTTTCCTCTTGCGGCACAGGAGTTGATTGATAAACGCGTTCCGCGGATACCTTGTACGTAAGGAGAGGTGTATTGAGACGTTCGTCACCGCTGGAGTCACTCCGCCCATCGTAAGTACAGGGTGGACGTGTCGGGACGCGCCATCTTAAAGCACCCAGATGCCTTGCCCTCGTCGCCGTGGTGGCTCGTCGTGGTGACGGCCCCGAGCGCTGTGGTTAGCAGACGACGGCGGCGGCCGTTGTTTGCAGACGACGGTGTTTTGCAGCCGGCTTTCGTTCGTCTCAACAGCCTCTTATTGGTAAGGTCATGTCTCGTTTGACTTAATCGCCGTTCATTCTGCTTGCGTAGTCTGGTCTGCGCTTTGGTGGCGATCAGCGAGTCGTTAGCACGCGTCGTTCGGTGGGACAAAGTATTTTTCTTTGTTCTGTTACATGGGTTAATGACAATAATAAAAGAACGCTTTTTTATTTTTTTTGTCATGTTGGGCGAGGCGATTTGCGATGTTTCGCGCTAGAATGTCTAAGCTTCCGTTAATAAGTGTGTATACAAACTGCTTTTCTTACTGCCCAGATTTTTGTTGGCATCTCTTTTGCGTTTTGAATGGACGCATGACAAGACGCTTCCATGTGCACGCAGTGCTTCGAAAGCCCTCCAAGCAACATTGGCGCTCGCTTCCTTTTATAACACTGCGTTGTGTGGTTCGAGTCATGCGCCCGACCGCACCATGAAATGAACAAAATCCAAGTCGAGCGATGACACGGCATTCGTGTCAGGAACGTAGCCAGGATTTTGTTTCGGGGGGGGGGGGGGGAGGGGGGGGAGGGGGGTGCCCATGACAAAATGCTGTATGAGGGGGAGGGGGAGAGGAGGTCCCAGCAATATGGATAATTTCGGGGGGGGGGGGGGGGGGCAGGCCCCAGGCCCCCCCCCCCCCCCTGGCTACGTGCCTGATTCGTGTGAAATACGCGATCACAGCATTCGCCACTTCAAAAGACGTCCTTTAATCCTCAACCCACTCCTTCAGGTTTCAGCCACAAGGACGCGCCAGTTTCGCTGCACATTTAGATATTCGATCGGTCGCTCCCCGCTTCTCTGCTTCACATCTCATCCGTTGGGATACGTCGCCTTCTCCGGAGTTGCGAATGCACAAATAAGATATACCGGCCTCAACTCATCGACCGGCTTTATATTAAAAGAAAACAAGATATTTTTCTAAACAAGTTTTTATAGTTGCGTTGTGTCGCAGATCGCCGAAATCACCAGAAGCCTGATCGTGGGTGGACAAAGAGTGGCGCCACTGTAGCGCTACTTTGATTAGGCCATAAGAAACCACAAAGGCAGACGTGTTGGCAACGTGTGAGGCACGCGGAGTCCGATGACCTTAAAGCGTCTTGAAAAGAAACTATGACGTCCGCCAGGTATTTCCTTCAGTGAGAATTACGCTTTACCGGCATTAGCGACCTCTACAGCGCGTCAGGGTTCCTCGACGTGGTGACTGGCGATAAGCGTAAGATGCCCGTTCTTCGCGCGAGCGCGCAAATCCGCCCAGACCGAATACGGGGCGTTGTGTTCGAGGGGCCGTTCTGTTTGGAGAGAGAGACGCAGGTCTCCCGAAGTGTGACTATCGAGGCATTTCGCGGACTTTTCGAGGAGCGGACAGGAAAGATCCGCCAACGCGGAAGAGTCGGGACAATAGACCGTCGCGGCTCCTGGACGCACGTCCATCCACCTTCGGGCCAGAATCATCCGTCTTATACGCTCGTAACACGAGCGCATTCCGCGTGGCGACGCTTCTGTTTTGCTCTGTGGTGTGCGTCAAAGAACGTGCTACGACACTCGCTACGCCGGCATTTTGCTTATCGCCATTCCTTCGTATTTACCCCGTGAACGTACGTGCGCCTAGTCACAGCCTCCTATATACTGACAAAGCCTAGCAGATCGCCACGAGAAGCGGCCGCCGAAATGGAAGTAGAGTGGCAGAC